TAAATTTTGGCAAGATGAAACTGTTAAAAGTCGAAGACAGGCTTTTTTAAATAATTTATCTACTGGTTTAAATCCACTATCAGGAAAGGGACGCAGACTAATAATATAACACATCAGTAGTTTTGTTAAAGGTGGTTTATTGACTTTTGAATCTACTCGTACCGGTGACTACTATGAGGACATGAATGTCTTTAAAGAGTGGTTCGAACAAATTATAGATCTTCTTCCTCAGAACTGTATAATAGTAATGGATAATGCAAGTTATCACTCGAGACTTATAGAAAAAATGCCCACAACCAAATGGTTAAAAAAAGATTTACAGAATTGGCTAAATTCAAAGAATATTAAGTTCCATCCCGGTTCTGTGAGAAAAGAACTGTATCATTTGTGTTCCCTTCATAAAGAGAAATTCAAAAAATATGAAATTGATGAAATTGCAAAAAATCGTGGGATGACGGTGGTTAGATCACCACCATATCATTGCGAAGTAAACCCGATTGAACTGATATGGGCACAGATAAAGGGAGAAGTTTCAAGAAAAAATAATTCTTTTAAAATGAGTTATGTTAAACAGTTGTTTTTGGAGGCTGTAAATAATGTGAAGCCTGAAAACTGGGAAAAGGCAGTAAATCATACGATTAAAGAAGAAGAGAAAATGTGGAAGTTGGACAATATTACTGATGAAATGATCGAGCCACTCATTGTAAATATTGGTTGCGACAGTTCATCTTCTGATTTCGATTCTGATTTGGATTTGTAGGTAAGAAGTAGTTTTTATATTAAAATTATTATTTATAAACGTAACGTTGTTTAAAAGTCAAAGTTTAAACCCTTATACCTACATAACCCGTTTGAAACAATGTTCTTAACATACCTTGTGGAAAAATAAAACATTTTAGAAAAAATTGCACTTTTTTACCTTCAGCTGTTTAGAAGTTATAAGCAGGTTAATTAGGTGAAAATATAAGTGTATACTCGAGGAATAACTTCAAAAAATATTTTAACTGTCTACTAAAAGAAGTGATACGCCTATGGATTACGAACGCTTTATTATTTTAATACTCTCTCATACATAAAAATAGACTATAGTAGGGGTGTCATCCTCCAAATGTTTTCAAAGGGGAAGGGGGTTCAGGTGATACCTATACAACGCTGCTGTTATGAAAATCGAGCCACTCGTTTAGAAAATTATGGAGCCTTGAAATTTAAACAATAATGTGTGACGGAAAATGCAAAAAATTATTAATTTTGAAATTACATTAATTAGGTATTCTCAGATTTAAAATTATACACTTCATTAACTTGAAACACTAAAACTTTTTTTTTTTTCGAAAAGTTTTATATTATTTCAAGAGCCTAAAAATGTGGCGTGGTTGTTTTTAGAAAAAAAAAAACTTTAAAAACCAAGATTTAGATAAACGAGGAGTATAAAATATTTGAATAAGTTATAAAAATAGCCTAAAAATGTGGGACATTTTTCAACTGAAAATTCCTTAGGTGCTCTGCTGCCTTCTTTGGCATCCTAAAATGTAATAATAAAAGTCATTGAAGTTGAATATTTATTTTCTAAATCTGTAAGCGATGCGAAATATGAAGAAAATACAAAAGACTAAATGGTTGTATTTTTAGTTGCTTAATCTGAAAAAAATACGAAAACTCAAAAAAAAAGTCAGTGACCTACTTATTTTCTAAATAATATTGGCTGTGGTGCCCACTGAAACGCCACTGGACCCAATAATTTCAATCTAGTTAGGGCCAAATAAGGGCCTTATTACTTCAAATAACTACCAAATTTAAACCAAATCATTAAAGGATATTTATGAAATTTATAAAATAGCCATTTTTTTAACTTTAACTCCCTGTATCTCAGAAACGAAGCAACTTCGGACATATGTTCATTGGATTTTTTTTTTTTTTTTTCATAAATAGACCTAAGAAATCACCCTCTGAAGTTTTGTATCGTAGTTAGAAAACACCCTGTATACATTATGAATAACAGAGGAGAAATCAGTAGTTATAGTCAACCAAATAATACAGTATTTATGATTACGTTTGTATGAAGTTTTCTTCTTAATAGATCCAAAAATCACCCCTACAAAACACCTTGTACCTATATAGCTACTGTTGAACCAACTTTTAACAAAATGGCAACGGTAATCGTAAAGCTCAGAGATAATGTGAAAACGAACCAATTAACGAGTGTGAACTTATCCACATCCACAAATGTACACTGAGAAAAATACAGCTCCATTATAATAGTCATATAACTTGGATCAAATGACATGTAGACGCTTTTCATTTACAGATTTCAATTGAAGAGGTTTCAATACATAACAACTATGCCCGTAATTAACTTTTGCTCCTTCTGAGGGGGTGTAATTGGGGGTGAAATTTAAAAAAATCATAGAAGCCACAAATGGCTTTGTATACCTTTCTGCTTGGGATATGTTATGTAGTTTGCTCTTTTCTTTATCCCTGATACCACGTGGAGTTTTTAGAGCCGTCTGAGGGAGGTGCAATTGGGAGTGAAATTTAAAAAAAATCATAGAAGCCAAAAATGGCTTTGTACACCTTTCTGCTTGGGATATGTTAAGTAGTTTGCTCTTTTCTTTATCCCTGATACCATGCTGGAGTTTGTCCAGCCGTCTGAGAGGGATGCAATTGGAGGTGAAATTTAAAAAAAATCATAGAAGCCAAAAATGGCTTTGTACACCTTTCTGCTTAGGATATGTTATGTAGTTTGCTCTTTTCATTAGCTCTGACACTCTGGAGTTTGTCGAGACGTCTGAGGGGGTGCAATTGGGGTGAAATTAAAAAAAAAACAGAAGTCACAAATAGCGTTGTACTTTTTCTGCTTGGGATATGTTGTTACATAAAAAAAATAACTGAAAATAATATACTTCTTTATATAAGATAAAAATGTGTTTTCTCTAAAATGAAATAAAAAATTACTCCTGGATTAAAAAATAATTGACTTTAAGCCTTCACATAAAACGCAATTGTTTTTAACTTTGAAACAACTATTATAAAATTTTCTTTGGCATAAAGTACATCCTACCGTCATTTCATTAACAGTTTTGCCACATACCATACATATATTCCAAACATTCTCCGAATTTTCCAATAGCATATATTTAATGGATTTTCGATATTCTGCCATATCTATTTCATTGCAAAATGATTTATCCTTCACATATTGCTGAGAAAAATAAATGATGAAAATGCACCCCCCCAGACGGCTCGACAAACTCCAGCATGGTATCAAGGATAAAGAAAAGAACAAACTACATAACATATCTCGAGCAGAAAGGTGTACAATGCCATTTGTGGCTTTTATGATTTTTTTAAATTTCACCCCCAATTGCATCCCCTCAGACGGCTCGACAAACTCCAGCATGCTATCAGGGATAAAAAAAAAGAGCAAACTACATAACATAACCCAAGCAGAAAGGTGTACAAAGCCATTTGTGGCTTCTATGATTTTTTTTAAATTTCACCCCAAATGCGCCTCCTCAGACGGCTCGACAAACTCCAGCATGGTATCAGAGATGAAGAAAATAGCAAATTACATAACATATCCCAAGCTAAAAGGTGTACGATAGCTTTTGTGGCTTTTATGATTTTTTTTAAATTTCACCCCAATTGCACCCCCTCAGACGGCTCGACAAATTCCAGCATGATATCAGGGATGAAGAAAAGAGCAAACTACATAACATATTCCAAGCTGAAAGGTGTACAATGCCATTTGTGGCTTCTATTATTTTTTTAAATTTCACCCCAATTACACCCCCTCAGACGGAGCAAAAGTTAATTGCAGGTATGGTTGTTATGTATTGAAACCTCCCCAATTGAAATTTGCAAATGAAAAGTATCTACATGTCATTTGAACCAAGTTATATGACTATTACAATGGAGCTGTATTTTTCTCTGTGTACATTTGTGGATGTGGATAACTTCACACCCGTCAATAATTACACATTTCACTTCAATTGAAAAATTTGAAAATAATTTTTATATTAAATTAAAACCCATATTTTATCGTATACTTATGTAAAACATTAAAATTGCCCACCATTGAAAATATTTCCTCCGAAAATCTCTAAAAAAAAAAACAACTATAAAAAATATTAGTACCATACCTTGTGCAAATTAATAAAAACGAATTTTTTTTTAATAAAAATATTACACAAATAAGTAATTGTCTCAAATCAAAGCTCAGAGATGCTGCTTTTGTGTCTTACAGTGTTGCCAAGTCGCACAAAAAGTTTACCATTCAATTATTTAGTATCAAAAATAGGTACATCAATTCATTTCTAATAATTTTCCTTGCCATAACAATATTTAATATTACTATTGATGTTATTTCACCCACCCAGCACTCCCTTTCACGTAGAACTGAAATTAATGGAAAAAATGGCATTTTTTGTGTCATATTATTCATTTGCACAAGATATGGAAGTACCTATGCTCAGTTTTTGCGAATTCGAACAGAGCTCAAACTAGACACTACATTTACCAATTCGTTTTATATATCGAATATCTCGGAAACCGGTCCTGATATTTCGCTTCGAACTATTATACAAATCGATTTCAATTAAAAAGTAATCACCCTGTATATTTATGTAATAAAGTTTACCATCGAATGGAAACTGGGAAAATAATATTTGTAGTTTTCTTAATAATTAGTTAAGGTCTGCATGTCTCTTAGTTTAACAGTAGGGGGGTTTAAAAAAAATACCTACAAAATATTTGAAATATTCGTCTAATTTAATAGAATAGTTTTATGGCTACAACTCTCGTGCAGGCAATCATTTCAAAACATCAATAACAAAAACATAGTTAAATACCTATAAATACCATATCGTGCTAAATACCTATCTTAACCTTTGCGAATTTTTCGCAAATCATATCAATGTTTTGAAGACGAATTTCACTATACATATTATTAACAAAATACCTACCTAATTATTTATTTATTAAGTGAAGGCATAAAAACTTACCTAAAATTATCTCGCTACTTCATAGGTACCTAAACACTTTTTATATATTTTTTTAACACATGTGCTTTCTTCAAAGACAACCCAAAACTCGGAAATCAGTTTACCCGCCTTCCGGTATTTATTTGTATTTTGTATTATTTCTACAAGGGTTGACTTTACTTGTTGCCTTATTTATCTATCGTTTATCGGTGAAATAGAAAAAGAGCCGCACCCCCGCCCAGCCAATGACAGCGATGACACACTGGCAAAAATTTCGTATTTTAAACTACCGATACTGGCACACTGGCACACAACTTCTAAACCAAACACCGATAAACTCACGAGTGATATAATAGAATAAATAAAACCGTGGTTGGGTTTGTCTCGCCATCGCCAGCCATGCCGTCGATTCCCGGCATTTCGTTCAGACATAGAAGAGAGGTTATTAACGGATGCGCAGTGTCGGATCGGCCCGAAAACCACCAAAATAATTCTGCAGAAAAGAATATATAGATGGAATCATTAGTACCCACATCGATTGAATACTGAGTTAATAATAACAGGCTTAGAGCCAACGCAAAAGAAAAAAGATCATATACAGGGTGTCAATAAAAGAAGAGAACGGAAACTGGGCAAGATCAAATAAACAAAAATTTCAACCGAATGAAAAACGAGGACTCGATTTATTAAAACGAGAGAACACAAACATAGAAATTCTTAGGGTAACGCCTAAAGTGGTAGCGGCAATATACCATGGAACATGGACATTACTATTAAACTTTAAAAAAATCTTGTTAAACACTTTGAAACACACTCCACATAACTATTTAGGGTCCGCTGACAATTAAGAAATTGTTTTTTTTACCTTAAAATCATAAAAATGTTTTATCCATGAAAAATATGTGAAATAAATCATTTCAATTGATTTCTTGTTGTACAAACGGCTAAATAACAATATTAGACTATCCATATAGCAATAAACCAAAAAAAAATTCTGTAAACGTTAATTATTCTTCACTTTTTTGTTTTTAAAATCTTGAAATAATAATAATATAAAATAATAATTTTTCTATTTTTATTAATGCGGTGTTACCAAACATAACGTAAGTATATAACAGGAATGACAATGGCTGTTTTTTCAATAGTTCCAGGCCAGATGATAAAACCAGAATATAAATGTGTTTATTTAAGACTTTTCATTTCAATTATTCAATTTGAGCTGTGTCCAGGGGTGAGATTCCGTTTCACGAATTTAATATCAAACTCCATAAAAGCAATTCCGTTTAACGAGTAGTCGATTCGATATCAAATCGTTACAGTTGGATTATTCTGACATTAGGTATGACCTGTCAATGAGGTTAAATAATAAGCCTGTGGCTTAAAATTTTAGGGAAGAAAGGAATTTAGTTTCCAGGACATACCTATGTCTCTGGCAATGCCTTCTCTGGATAACCTATCGTGCAGCAGAGGTCTTTTATATCCTTGAAATATCAATAAAAGGATTAGTTATTATAAAAAACGATACAAAATCTAAACATTTATAGGTTCTCTTTATTCAGCTGAAAGAGTACTCCACGACGATTTTCTGGAAGTTCAAAAGGATCGTTTCTTTTTTGTAACTCATCCTTTCTTTAGTCTAATAATAATAAATAATAATATTTTTATAATTTAACCCATTAAGAGTGATCCTTACAACTCTGAATGCAGAGTTGTTTGTACCCGGTGAGGGATGACTATTATTATTTGCCATGGCTCTCCGAGGCAACTTACAGATGTCATTTGAATTAGAGATGAGGATACCCCGGAAAAACCCCACACATAAGCATAAAAACTAATAAATAATTACAATTTAATTTTTGTTGTTTGTCGTTAAAAGTCGTGACATTCTGTTCTGTGTCGAGTAACTCGACACATAATTCGATCGAATTAAAAACAGCGATTCTATTCGCGATTCAAATTAATTTTCGCGCGCCTGTCATTTGTCACGTATAAGTAGGATGTTTGTTTATTTACGTGTTGTGGGATTTTGTATTTGTGATTTTTTAACTGTTTTTAGATAATATTCTTTTATAATAGTGTTTTTGAGTTTCATTTAGTGTTAATTTAAGTTTAGTTTTCGTGTTTTCGTTATAAATGTAATTTTTCATGTGTAGTACGAACTAATTTGTTGGAAATATTGACCTATTGGTTGCTACAAGAACATCTAGAAATATGTATTTACTAAACCCAGGACATGTTTTATTATGTGGTTTAAAGGACATATCAGGTACCAAACGTTTATTTTTGATGAACTTCTTTAAAAATCGTACTATCCTTATTCTTATATCATGAAGTGAATTGTGTAGTACTTTGTATACATGTAAATGGTAATAAAACCGTCACAACTCATATTGGAGTTTGATTCTAAACAACGTTTTGCATAATTTCAATATTGTGAATTTGTAGATACCCATTTATCGTAAGAAACAGAATTTTATGACTTGCACTTGAAAAATAATGAATACTCCAGTTTTGATTTTGACAATAACACCATACAGATTGCAATTTGCTGGAGGCTTTTTCGCAGATTTCATTTTTAATTTAAATACTAGCACATACTATAAGAAATAAACAAATTTAAAGCTAAAAAGTAACAAAAAACTCTAATTGTAATTGATACAAATTAAAATGTAAACAATGAACACGAACGCCAATGTTGCCAAATGATGAACTGATTTTGTCTCTGACTGATTTTAAAACTAAAATTAATAAATGAACTGATATTAAAAAAAAATCAATATAATAAATCGATTTTATAAAAAAATCCTTAAATAAATAGTATGATTACATATTACTAGACACAAATTTTGATTCTTAAATAAAAGGTCTTATCCATTTCTTCAAGAACTAAAATCCGACGACGTAACGAAATTTTGCTGCTTCTGGCAACACTGAACGTCATCCTACTTATAGGGACCTTTTACTAATTTCCTCCAGAGGGCGTATCACTTAGCTTGAATCGCGAATAACTCGATCTGTTTTGACTTCGGAAATCTTCGGAAATTCGACAAAATAATGAAGCATTCAAACTATTCTAACTTTTAAACGTCAAACAACAAAACTTGAATTGTATTTCTTTAGTCTTGATGTGAATTATTTATTAGGTTTTATTCTTATGGGTGGGGTTCTTCCGTAGTGTTCTCATTTATAATTTGAATGACATCTGTAAGTTGCCGCGGAGCGCCATGGAAAATAATAATAGTCGTTCCTCCCCGACAACAATTAAATTGTATTGTATTTGGTTTAGCCTGTTTAGCCACAAGATTAATAATTTATTTCTTTATGATGATGCTTGGGGTTTTTTCTGGGAATCCTCATCTATAAGTTAGATGACACCATCTGTAAGTTCCATTGGAGCGCCATGGCAAATAATAATAATACGGTTGTCCCTCCCCGATGCCAGCTATATGCTTTCAGAGTTGCAGGGATCACTCGTAATGGGGTAAATTGTAAATTAATTATTATTTAATATTATTGTGCTTTGTGCTAAAGAAAGAATGACCTAAGGGAAAGAAGCGATCCTTTCGAACTCTCTGAAAATCGCTGTGGATAGCTTTTTTGGCTGAATAAAAATTACCTTCCTTTATTAGTTTATATTTTATAGCGGTTTATGTAATTAATAAATCCTCTTATTGATGTTTCAAGTAGTATACAGAGTCCCTACTATTTCATAGGGACATTATTTCTTAAACGCTAACAGATAGAAGGTTGGTTAAATTAGACAAAAATTACGCAGTTTTGTGCCTAATAAAATGGTGCCAAGAAACCTTTGATATCTAGAGGGAGACTAAAAATATCGGACAAAAAATGAATTGTAATTTCTTTAAATTTATTCATTCGTTTTTTGTCAGATATTTTGAATTTCTTTGTAGATATCAAATGTTTTCTGGCACCATTTTAATAAGCACAAAACTGCGCAACTTTTGTCAAATTCAACCATTTTTCTATTTGTTACCGTTTAAGAAATAGCAATACTATCCCTGGCTCACGAACTAGTAGGTAGGTACCTATCTAATTGGGAGGTTGCACAATGAGCCTAGTGAGTCCTAAGTGCCATGAGTTAACCCACTCTTCACACGTTACAGATACAGATACTGTCCCTATGAAATAGTATAATGACCCCGTATATACCTATTAGAGAAAATAAGGCCCTTAATGCAGGAGAGGTTATTTAGAAAAGACACATTGCTGCAGGAAAGGTTCATACCTAATGTCAAAAAAATTCAACTTTAATGATTTGATATCGAATCGACTACTCTAGAGCTATCGAGTTTATTGCTTTTCATAATTCGATCGAATTATATACTATTAGATTCTGGTCCCATAAAAACTATGTTTATTTTTCTGAGAGTTTGCAATAAGGTTCTTCTTTTGGTAGTTGTTTAATTTTAATTGTGCATATAATTATTCTCACTAATTTATTTACAATTTTATGTGGTAAGTAACCTACATTATTTTTTGTTATTTGCCTATACTTTTAGTTATTGGTCTTTATTTTCATGTCAATTTCTATGTTACAATATTTCTTGGTCTTTATTAGTTGTTTCCTTTTATAACTATCTTAGAAATTATTGCAAGAAGCACAATTCCGAATATTACTGATGAAAACAACGGATGGTTTTATTGTATAGGTAGGTACTGCGGATCTGTGTTTGAAATGTTCTTAAAATTTTTTATTTCTTGAAGTACTTTGACACGTCCAGTTTAAATAGTTTTTTTACATCTATAAGAGCCATCTCTTTTTCGGATACATGATAATTCTCTTCTAAAATTTTAAAGCAGTTATTCCTAACTCCAAACCTCAGAAAGATAATAATACATTCTAGGAAAAAAATAATATACACATTTAACCACTGTACAACTTCTATAGTAACGGTTGTTTATATAATTTAAAACAAAAGAACCACTGAAGCAGTTTGTATTAGTTTTATTAACCATATAATAATTTTCTGGATAAACCTAATAGTAACTACAGTTTACAATGGTATTTCAACTGTATTATTAAGTAAATATGTATGTATTAAAAGTAGTTGTAATTTAAAAAGTATAGAAACGTTATAATAACTACATATATTGTACATTTTAAAACAACTTAATTTAGTTATACGTTTCTTATAAATTAACGTTGCTACAACTCTAGTTAAATATTACTCAATAACTTCTAACAAAAACGTCGTACTATTAGTTTCTACACTATTAAATAGTTGTATATCAATTTTAAAAATTTAAGTTATTTAACGTGTCGTTTACGTGTGTTTTGTAACGTTTTAATCAATTATATCAACGTTTTATAACTTTGTATATGTTACTTGGGGTTGGAAGTATATTTTTTCTATAGTTTTTTAAATTAATAAAATATTAATACGTATTTAAAAAACTAATTTGC